ATGAACAGTGGCTCTCGATGGTCTTGGATTCTGGCAGGAAAAGTCAAATTCCCAACTCAATGAACATTCCAGTGGAGCTGGGACATATTCCCTTCTGCCAAGTAGAAATACTAGTATGTTTTGAACCCTGCTTGGGAGGGGGAAGGAAAACATGAATGAGCATGACATTTATTTATTTGTTCATTTATTTGTTTACTTATTTATTTTCAGTTACAGTTGACATATAATAATATATTGGTTTCAATAAGTGCAACATTTTCCAAATGGAGTTTTTGGTAGTTCATGCAGCTAGACTGTAATTTATGCTGCTAAGGCACTAGATTTCAAAGTGACTTTTTCTTATCACACTAAAACCTTTTAATTTGGATATATATTCCTAAGTCCAGAATGGGTAGGAAAATTCTCTGTCAAAAGATAGAGATGTGCCCTAGCCAGTCTGGCTCAGTGGATAGTCAGTCTGCAGACTGAAGGGTCTCAGGTTCGATTCTGGTCAAGGGTCAAGAGCATGTACCTTGGTTGTAGCCCCGGCCCTGGTAGGGACGTGTGCGGGAGGCAACCAACCAATCTATGTGTCTCTCTCACATCAATGTTTTGCTCCCTCTGTCTCTCCCCCTCCCTTCCACTCTCTCTAAAAATCAATGGAAAAGATATCCTTGGGTGAGGATCAACAACAACAAAAAAGCTAGAGATGTAACTGGCCCTGCCGAAAACAAAGGGAAAAAGCGAAATTGCATTCCAGAGATTTGAGGGAAGAAAGAAGTTTGGTGCATGGATTGTAAACAATTTCCTATGACATAGTTCCTGATTTCCCACACCATTTACCTCTAGAAAAGTTTATCATAATTTTAACATGTCCGTATTATTTGGGGACTCTAAGTGACAATGTTGGTAGAAGTAGCTGGTTTCATTTAACTGTGACAGAAGAGGGGAAAGTATGCAGACTGAGCCAAAAATCGTGTTCTGGGACCAGCTCTGCACTGCCTGGCTGTGTGACATTAATCAGGGTGCTTACTCAGTGCAGGGCTGTTTCTTCATTCATTAAACTAGATTAGTCATGCTAGTTATACTAGGTGAACCCTTACCTGCCTTTTTGGCATTAACATTCAATAAAATTGGATTAAGTTCTCCTAGGCCAACATATGTATGTGTGTAGTATACACATGTAATACATACAATCACACACACATATACATATATGAAATGAGTTTCATGAAGCAATATTTACCCTTGTTACCTCAGATGCATTATTTTATTATTTTAGTTCACTAAGAAAACCTGTTCAAGTTCCACTGAATTGAACCCATTTGACAGTCACCACAGCCAGGCACAATCCTGCACTTTGAGGACCTGCTGCCAAGTGAGTGCAGGTGATCACATAGGTTAATGGTCAAAATTCTGATCACTGAGAAAAGTTATAAAAATGGTATAGATACTAGTCCACATATTGAAGAAATATGCTATGATTTTAGAGAAAAATTATGATGCATTAAATAAAAATAACCTCTAAGTATAAGCACTCTCCAATCAAAGGAACCCTAGTGTTCTGCTAAGTGGATTATCTTCTGTTTATAAACAACCCATTTTAAAGTTTCTGTAGTTTTAGTTAGAGTATTTCAAAAGAGTCCTTGACTTTTTAAACATTAACTTTTAAAAGCACCATCAATAATACAATTATTAATTACACATGTATTATTAATACAAATTATATGTTTCCTTCCTCTCTCTATTTTGATGGAAGATACTGTAAGAAGATTGTAGTCCTTGAATCCTTCACTCTGTCCTCAAATCCTCGATGGGCCCTCTGTGGTACTTTTTGAGTTAAGTCTCAGCATGCCATTTACTGGTGTTACTGGGACCTCTTGTGTCTTAGATGAGACTCAAGGGCAGCGGTTCTCAACCTGTGGGTCGCGACCCCTTTGAAGGTCGAACGACCCTTTCAAAGGGGTCGCCTAAGACCATCCTGCATATCAGATATTTATATTACGATTCATAACAGTAGCAACATTACAGTCATGAAGTAGCAACGAAAATAATTTTATGGTTGGGTCACAACATGAGGAACTGTATTTAAAGGGCCAGAGGTTGAGAACCACTGCTCAAGGGTCTAAGGTAATAGGTGCTTCTCTTAGGTCCCATCATACCATAATCCAAGGATGAGAAAGCTGGGTCTGATTTCCCAAGCAGTGTTCCCTTTCTGTAATCACACACACTTTTGTATATAAGCAACAGCCACAAGGGTTAGGGATATTTTCAATGGTTCAACCATTGGGACTATTTCATGTAGATGAGAGAAATCTCAAAATATCTTCTTTAAAAGATTACATTACAAAATAACTCCTTTCCCAGTAATACTTCTAAGTAGAAAATAATTGTGGTTTGTGTGCATATTTTAAAAAACAGGACATATCTCCATTTATTAGTTTATGATATTTAATAAACTTAACAATATAAAGATTGTACTCCATCAATCATACTTTTCCCTCCAATACTATTTATACAGATTTGTAAGAAATTCTAGCCCTGGTCAGGTGGCTCAGTTGGTTGGAGCATCATCCCATACACCAAAAAGTTTGTGAGTTTGATGTCTGGTCAGGGCACATACCTAGGTTGCTGGTTTGAGTCGGGGAGCATATGGGAGGCAACTGAACAATGCTTTTCTCTCTCACATCTCTCTCTCTCTCTCTCTCTCTCTCTCTCTCTCTCAAATCAATAAACATATCCTTGGGTGAGGATTTTTAAAAATCTAAACAAAATTATTAAATCTTAAATCTGGCTTATTTCTGCTTATCTTTCATTAGACCTTGTTTAACATTATCCTCATCTAATGACAGCTATGTACAAAAAGAGGTGATATCACTTGGGTGCTCTGTGAAGTTGGGTCACTGGGATGGGAACGTGGGGCAATTATTTGCCTGTGTGTTTTTTATCTGTATCTTGAAACTTTCTCAACCTTACCAACTTGACGCTATTTATATTACCGAAAAGCCTCACCAGTAATACGTAGGATTGTGGAAAAGACCCGGATAACTGCGTATAGAAAGGTCAATAATTGTGGGTTTCATGGTTACAGTTTTGGAACTTCTACCCATCCTCCCCACCTTTCTGTTTGTTTCCTATATGACATAAGCTAATCTTTCCCGGACATACAATTTCCATCAAATATATGTTACATCGTTGAAAAGCAATCAGATTTTTTTTTTCCCAGAAAAATCCCTTTCTCAAGCTATAGTCCTACTCGTTTACTTTCCTATATCCAGGTAAGCACACTGCTCTTCCCAAGGCCTTTTTACACCACCCATGCTGATCCAAACCAAACAGACCTTTAGATGGTACTGACAACGACGTCTTCATCGAATATGACCGCTGCTCAAAGCTTCAGCTCCCTGTTTGCTCTGTAATGCTGTGCCAAGATCCTGGCCTTTAGATGTTCCCAGAATCCCTGGAAACATTCCTTATTTGTTTGTGAGTATAAGTCTTAGAATGGTTTTGCCTACACAACAAAATGAGAATGAATAAAAGCAGTGTGATCTCTTATGGGTGGGAATATTTTCTTTACCTACCAAACAACTTGGAACCAGTTAGAACAGAATTTTAAGTAATAACCCACCTTGGTGCATTTGTAAAATACACCAGGATTAAAACAGAGGAAAAGGATTTACTGTAACAGGTTCCATTCCCCCCTCACCCCCCATCTTTGGTATTGTTTTCCTTAGTATTAAAAGTACTAACATTTTTAAATTCTGAAATACTGGTGGAAACTATGATTAAGGACTCACATTATTTAACCTTTAAAATATAAATTAAGAAAACCACTCTTTATACCCTATCATTAAGGTATCAAACATACCCTGGCACTCAAAATGGGCTGTATTTAATTATCATAAAGGCTAAACATCATGGTTCTATCACCAGAAAATACTAAGAATATGGACAGAAATAACACTTCCTCATTTCTATTTGAGGATTTCAGAAGAGTACACTAGTAATTGATTCCCTTCTATCTTGGCTGCATTGTAATAGAACAAAAGCATTTTTTAAAAAAATGGGTCCTTTAATAAGGACCCAAAGTCAACAGCAAGAACCAAGCATAGCTCCCGTCAGCGGGAACAGGGCAGGGGAGGAGGTTTGTTGGACACGGGCCGCACAGCCCCTTCTCCACTCGCCCTGGTGTGTGCCAGCCCTGGGCCGGGCAGCAGGGCACAGCAGCATGTGGACAGGCAGACAGTTTTGCTGGCTCCCACTGGCTCCTCAGGCCAAAGTCCAGGCAGAAGTTGGCCTTGTGGGGTTCCTGTCGCCCTGCCAACCCCTGGCACTCCGGGGACACTGCTAGGAAAACGCTGGCCAAATCCACATGAGAAGTCACCTCTTCACATTGTCTTCCACGTCGGGGGTTGGACTGAAGGAAACCCCTTCTGTCAGATGTTATGGTGTTTGTGCACCAGCCAAGGAAAGTGAGAGAGAAAAAGAAAGCAACTTGTTTAACCTCACGCAATGGAGAGAAAGGATTCTCTAAGGTAGTTGGTCTGGGAATGAGGCCCAACAGGCTCAAATCTCAGCTCAGCTTGCTATTTTTTCACTTACTGATGGTTTTCAAAAATTTAAAGAATTATGATCCTATCTATGTTGGGCCATCATGTCATTGCTTTCTCAAAGAGGGAGTGGTCCAAAGTCATTGTTGGACAAATATAGAAAAATCTGCGCACCATTTGACAATGGTCAATACACAAAGCACAGTCAGATATACATATATGTATATATCTAGATATACATATCTAGCGTATAGACAAATTGAAAAAGCAGATATGCTCAAAAAGGAAAATGTCTTCATTGGCCATTCTTAAGGCTCTAAGTAGGAAATACTACTTTTAATAAGGTTCCTTCAATACCACATGTATGTATAGATGCTCAAAGATTTACATCCATGTACATATAGATGTTCAGAAACAGACATGATCATCTCATGTATGCAATCTCTTTCCTGGACCAATAAAGACAATGCATTTCTAGGGAACGTTTATGATTTTTATTATACTTGATTTTAGAAAAGTGGAAATCATAATCTTACATAATTTCTTTCAAATGGGTAAACTTAGACAATTTGCCAATGCTTCCTTAAATTTTCACACCACGCTGAACTCCAACAGGTTTTTGTTTTAAGGTAAACCAGGTTTTCGGTTCCTCCCTGTGGAGAAGTTACTTTCAAGTCAGTGAAAGTTCTTGGCCCATGATTAAAAGTCTTTGCCAATTAGTACTCAACAACTTCAATTCATTTTTTTCTGGTTCAAGATGAGTAGGAGCCTAATAAGGCTGTGATAAAAGGGCAAAAGGCACTGAGAGCCAAAAGCGGATTAATGAGCTCCTCCATTTATTTGTCTTCCTAACAGCTGAACTGTTACAACTATTGACACTCTTCAAAAGGTTCCGCTCTGAACCCTGTCCAGGCACTGCAGGCTCCAATGGACATCTTCAAATCCAGAGAATGGAGGGGCAAGAGCTTCCCCTGTGTGGTGCCAAAACCAACAAAGCCCCATGGATCAGGTAATGAAACTTCAGCTTTTCCCCCTTTGAGATTTATTTACTGGCAGCTGACAAGGGGCAAATTCAGCTCGAATTGTGCAGTCAAGGCCCTGTCAAGCTTTTAGAGGCACCCTTGTCTTGAAGCACCTTCATGACTGGCATTTCACTCAAAAGCCCTCGGCGCTGGTCCTTAACAGCTTATGACATCACAAAGGACACTCCAGACAGATGCCTACATGGCATCCTGCAGCATTTTAAAAGAGAATTAGTGGTTTTAATTATGGTCGTAGTATGAAAGGGAACCATGCAAGCTCCACGGGATACCTTTGATCAGACCCTTTTGCTAGTACAATGCCACGGAACTGTGACTATTCCTGGTAAGGGGCCTTTTCTTGCTGAATGACTCACCAGTGATCTTTGAATGCAGACAAGCTTCTAGCCCTCCCTCTTCATTAGTGAGCATTTCTATACAGGGGCCTATATAGTGCTCGGAGTCTCGGAGCTATACAATCAGGGGGAAAAGAATCCCTACGGATTCGGGCCTCTACTTAGGAAGTGCTGAAGGACTCTGAGTGACTTTATTCATTAAAACAGGTTGCTATTAATTAACTGTCATAATAAAATAAAGAACCATTATTTGCATTTCTTACTATGTTCTCTTTAGTAATATGTATAAAAGATCCTTGTAACAAAAATAAATTTATTGAACCATTTCCCCATCCTCCCCCTCGAAGCCCCGCCTTCTTCTTTTTTTTTTTTTTTTTTTTTTTTTTTTGCATTTTGGCAGCAGGAGCCTACTAATTATTGGGCCCAGATTTATGAGCACAAACAGAAGCAAAACATAAATATAAAATTAATTAAGGAATCAAAAAATTCTTTTTACTGGCCAACCAGTTTACACGACTGGAAAAAAGCAAACAATGAATTAGCTTTATTTTTCAGTGCTTTCAGAGAATTGCCTAAGACAATAAAACCCCAACTTTTTTCAAAATATCATCGGTTGGTGTTTAGCTTGAAACAGGAGATTATGTAACAACCACAGCTAATAAAAAATAAAAAATAAAAGAATTCTGACTTGCAGCAAAACAAGATTCACTTTTTTTGTGGGTTTTTTTTTTTAAAGCCACTTTTGGGAAACAGAAAATGTCTTTGGTATGGTATTAATGTTTGAAGAATTAATGTTTGCTAATCCCAATAAGCAAGGCCCTTAAAAGATGCACAGTCAATATTTTAAGTAAATGAATAGAGTCCATTCTCTTTTAGAATCTAATGGAGCAACATCATTAGGTGAAAAGTTGCCAAAGTGGGAAGGATGTTCGGAAGATTCTCCCTGAAATGCTAACTTGGGGACAGGGGATAAACAGATTTTATATAAACAGCACAATTCAGTCACAACCACCCCACCCCCAACCCTCCCAATTACTTCTATCTGGGAAGTGACTTAAGTCTTCAATTTTTTATCAGTTTCTTTTCTCTGAAGAAAAAGTTTTGGACCTCAAAAATTTGGAAGCAGGATGACAAGCAGGTTTTCCACATTTTGCTGTCTCAGGCATTTTTCCTATTTCTCAGACTCTGCAGTTCTTTTCTTAGGTGCTTTAGAGCAGCTGAAATATCAGCCAGCTGCGGGTCATTCTGCGCTCTCTGAGTGTAGAGGCGGAAATGTCTGATGGTTTCCGATAACAAGACTTCAGGGTCTGCGCCTCCTTCCCGAAGGTGCAGCATCCGCTCGCAGGCGATGGCATAGTTCTTATGCCAATTCACTGGGTGTTCCTTTTGAAAATAGACAATCTCCTTATAAAGCTGGAAGACAGAAAAATGATGGTATTTCATTCTTATCCCTTTACTTTCCCCCAAAAAAACACCAGAAAACACAGAAGAATTAATAACACAAGAAAAAAAAATCCATGCAGCCTGCGGTAGAAATCTAATCGTTGCCAGGCCATGCAGAAAATGCAAGGATGCTACTGTAATTACTGCAGTGGCAGGAGGCAAATGTGCTTCGTCTAAAACTGCTTCTGGGGTTTTTCAGATGTTGCAGAGGAAACCTAGGACACACTGCGTCAGGACAAATGCTCTTCCCGCAGAAAGATGTTCCGGGAAAGAGATTTAGTTCTAATTCATGGAAAGCTATTTACTCACTAGGCAGAAAGGTTGAAACTCTAAATTTAGCTGTTGGAGAAAAAAATATAGCTTTCTTTAGAAAACTGCATGGGAAAAGAACTTGAAGGAATTTAAATCTTGTCCCTCATTTTTACATAAATATCTCTCTACATTTAAAACAACAGTAATAACAATAGCAATATTAAAACAAACCCAGCATTGAACAGGCCAAGCATAATAGCCTTTAAGAGATATCTTTAGAATGAAACATTAAAAATCTTCATAGTATCCTATAATTACAATTTTGATAGTGAAAACTTTGCCCACAGGAATTAGAAATTTTATTTCTCAACACCAGAGGTAGTAGTAATTAAACAGAGTTGGAATTATTTTGGATACAGTTTTCTGGTGGAAAACCATGGAAATTTAACAAAAGTAGATATATATCTGCAAAATGGAAGATTACACTTGTTGCATGGGAATTTCAGCCTTCCTGGGATTGTCAAGTTTGAGTGGGATCCATAGGAACTTGAGTTTACAGAAGACTCCATGAGAGCTCAGAACAGCAACCACGTTTTCTCTAGGGACAAGTGCTTTCTGAATTACGACTGTATTCACCATATCACTCACTTGAAAGGAACCCAATATATTATCTATTTCCCCAATGCCTACTCTAGAGCAGACAAATGCATTTCTAATTTATTTTTAAATAGCATCCACATGAAAAGTTCCACAATCCATGCATGATATGCCATTTTGACATTTTATAATCTTCAGTGTTTAAGTTGCTTTTTAAAGCAATTTCCCCCGAAGTTTCCTTCACTTCACAAAACAGGAAAGTTATCCCGCACTTTCATGAATATACTTTCAAATACACCAAAAATAAGTAGGAAGTTAAACCCCCACTCTTTCTCTTTTTTTTAATTTAAATTAAAATTGTTTAATTTATTGATTTGAGAGAGATTTGTTGTCCCACTTATTTATAAATTCATTGGTTGATTCTTGTATGTGCTGTGACTAGAGATTAAACCTGCAACCTTGGTATATCAGGACAACTCTCTAACCACCTGAGCTACCCAGCCAGGGCCTGCCCTCCACCCTTTCATTCGCTTGGCATTGTTTTCTACCTTTCCCCATAGTCTTTTTCCTCTTCCTACTCTCTTCCTGATCCTCCCTCTGATGAGGGACACATGGAAAGGGCGGGGCACACTCCCCAGCACAGAGCAAGCGCTCAAGAACTGTTCCTGTTCTTTACTTCATCAAGTTTTCAAAATTCTACTAAGACCCTTAGTGTGGTTGGGTCTCAACGTTTGTTTGGCTTCCTGGGACCACAGTCAGAAGACAAAGCTATGCTCTTCCCCTTCATCTTTCTCATGAAATCTCCACCAGCCATGGCCTGTCGTTTCAAGTGTCGCAGGGTCATGACTCCTGCAATAGAGGGCGGCCTGTCAGAACTTCTTTTCTAAATAAAGTTAGTTTCCCATTACTATGGTAACAAATCACCACAATATAGTGGCATAAAACAATATGAATTTATCATTTTACACTTCTGGAGGTCAAAAGTCATAAAATCAAGGGAACTGTAAAATCAGCAGGCTCTAGAACCCGTTTCTTTGCCTTTTCCAGCATCCAGAGGCTGCCTGTACTCCCTAATTGTGGTCCCTTCCTCATCTCCCAGGCCACCTGCCTAGCATCTTCAGATCTTCCTCTTTGACCTCTGCCTGCACTGTCGCATCTCCTTCCCAGACTCTGACCCTCCTGCCTCCCTCTTCATAAGGACCCTTGTGAGGACACTGGGCCCACCTGGATATGATCCAGGATAATCTCCCCACCTCCAGATCCTCAACCACCTCTGCCATGTCCTCGCCACCACGTAAGTTCACAGGTTCTGGACATCTTCAGGGGGACCATTATTTTGCCAATGACAGCCATTTACTTTAGTATTATTTGTGATACATGAGTATTTTTTCCATTTACACTGCTTTATAATGGCAAATAAAGCTGGAAACTAAAGAGTAAAAACTCTGTGACATACCCTCTCTCCATCCCAACAACTCCCACCCTCCCACCAAATCCTATATAATAAAAGGGTAATATGCAAATCGACCAAAAGGTGGAACAACTGGTTGCTATGACATGCACCGACCACCGGGGGCAGCTCCTGCATTGAGCATCTGCCCCCTGGTGGTCAGTGCGCTCCCATGGTGGGGTGCGCCACTCAGCCAAAAGCCGGGCTAATGGCTGGCAAGCGCAGCGACGGTGGCAGGAGACTCTCCCACCTCTGCGGCAGGGCTAAGGATGTTTAACTGACGGCTTAGGCCTGCTCCCCATGGGCTCTCGGACTGCGGACTGTGAGAGGGTGCAGGCCAGGATGAGGGACCCTTCCCCCCAAGTGCACGAATTTTGTGCACCGGGCCTCTAATATACTGATGTATGTAGAAGTATACCATACGTCATATGCGTGAGTGTAGAGTTGAGCTTTCACATTTGAAGGCACATTTACAGTTTCTGCCAGGTTAAAAATGAAGAACGGTGTTTTCATCCTGGAAGGGTGAGGGGAAAACACTTTATTAAAATCATGCTGTCAATTTCAAATTTATCTGCCAGACTTTTCCACTGATAAAGAACATACAAAACCCTTTATTGCATCACTTTTACTTCTCTAAGATTCAAATGTTTACTCTGCACCAACATTAATCCCTTATTCCCCCAAATGCCAAGACGCTGCTTTCACACTGATTGCCAGATCTTTTAGAAAAAAGCTATGTTCATCATCACTATTATACATCATTTCCCACCAAGATGTGCACTATTGTTATGCAAGAGAAGCAGGGAGCGGGGGACTTGCTGAGTTTGGTGCCCGTCGCAATGGCTCAGGCCGTGTGTGACCAGCTCCTCAAAGGTGGCTGCACGCTTTGACCACGCGAACTCATCCAAATTGTATTCAGCACACCAATTAAATCAACACCCACCCGAATAATAACCTGCTTTCTTCTTTTATGTGACTGCTCCCTCAGCTTTCCCGCAATCATAGAGAAGAAATATGCAAACATATGGTATATCTTTGTTCAGTTCTTCAAAGTATTTGTCTCTATAACTAGGCTGATAACTTGAAATATGCCGTTTTCTGATATTTTCATAAACACTATTGCATAAACTATAGTATATCTATTTTTATAATTGTTAATTTGGAGCTGGATTTCTTGACAATTTTTTTAAACTTCTTTAAACTTATAAGTAAACGCTTTATACACTGTAAGTCAAGCCTCAGTGCAAAGCACAGTCCCTGGCCCGGAGTGAGCTTCCTGCCTTTGCAGCAGGAAGTACATCCTATGTACATGGGACCCCCATCTGTATCATTTAAACTTTTACATTAATATTTAGGCCAAAGTCTGCTAGCATTAGGGATTCTGAATTATTTTTAAATGACAGGAACCAAGAGAATCAATAGCATCAGCATGAAGCGTTCCATACAGGAAGAACAGAAATGTACAGCATGGAGCACATTCATATTCAGATCTCTTTTAACGTATCTGATTGCTCCATAGTCTGAGCAGCTCGAGGGTAGGGACTGTGTCGTGTCCATGTGTGCAGTCTCTGTGCCTGGCACAATGCCTGGCTTCTGGGAAGTATGCAATACGTGCCTAAGTAATTAACTAGAACATGACACGTGGGCACGGTCATTATCAACTTCTCCTCCATCACACTCACTCTGGCTTAGCTGAGGCGGGAGAGGACAGGAGTGGTGCGGGTCCGCGTCAGATGGGCACTAGCAGCTAAGTGGCCTTGGACAAGCACCCTCTCCACCTCCAGTGTGGTCTTTTGTAAAATGGAGATAATAATAACTTTCAGATAGGTTGTTGTGAGGATGAAATGAGGTTACTCATCATAATGACTAGTACACTGCCTCAAACAAAATGATTGCCCATAAATGTCATTTTTATTACCACCACCCACCCCTGTTTCCTCAATGAAAAGTGACACAGGCTACTTCTCTGCCACGTTAACAACAGGCCGCAAACACACACGTGCAGATTAGTCACCTTGCTTGCCACATCTCCTCATTGGCCACAGATTCCCAAGAAGATGGATCAAACCTGTAGTTACAAGAAAACAGTAACGTTTTTCTGCCAACCACATATATTGCTATGGACATGTAATCTTTTATAATCTTATAAGGCAAATGAAATAAACTGGATCTTGCCCTGGATGGGTTTACTCAGTGGTTTAGAGTGTCGGCCCGTGGCCCAAAGGGTCTTGGGTTTGATTCCCAGTCAAGGGCACGTATCTTGGTTTCAGCTTTGCACCCCACCCCCAATAGGGGCTCGTGCAGGAGGCAATCAGTAGGTGTCTCTCTCTCTCCCCTCCTCCTCCCTCCCTTTCACTCTCCCTAAAAAAAAAATCAATGGAAAAAATATCCTCGGGGGAGGATAAAAAAATAAAATATAGACTGGATCTTGATGTACCAATAGAGACTGAAATAAAAAAACCTATTCTCCTAGAAAAGGTGGATTGTTAGCAATTTGAAATTTTGGTAAATGTGTTCTTAATCTGCATAATGGGCCCCAGTGCCTCATGGGAGCAAACAGGATTGGTGGGAAGAGGCTGGAGGCATTTAGGGAGCCAGCTGTTCTAAGAACTGTCACTGTCAGCCAGGCAAAGGGGCAGGGCTAAGGCCTCAGCCACTCTAAGGACATAGCTAAGAGCCAACGAGCTGGGAAGCAAGGGACAGGCCTGAAGAGAAGGGCCTCCTGGCTTTGCTACATCATTGCTGGAGCTAGCTCAGGGGTGGGCAAACTTTTTGACTCGAGGGCCACAATGGGTTCTTAAACTGGACCGGAGGGCCGGAACAAAAGCATGGATGGAGTGTTCGTGTGAACTAATATAAATTCAAAGTAAACGTCATTACATAAAAGGGTACGGTCTTTTTTTTTTTTTTTTTTTAGTTTTATTCATTTCAAACGGGCCGGATCCGGCCCGCGGGTCGTAGTTTGCCCACGGCTGAGCTAGATGCTGCTCAAGGAACACTGGCTAAACTATTTACTGATTTTCTTTCTTTCTCTTAATTAAACGTTCTCTTATGTATCCATTTTGACTGAACGAAGATGAGTTATGTTGTGTCCTTGTACTGTACTGTCATCAGCTGTTTACAGAAGAGGTTATTTTCTATCTTCTCCCCACGGTGGTCTCAGAGTGCTCTGATGTAGACCTACCTACCCCTCTCTGGTTCATGCACAGCAATGTGGTCCGTTTGCTCGATTTGATTAAAAAATCCTTTAGAGCATTTTTCATATGATTCTTGCCTGTTGTCCTGGAACTATAAGCAATAATTATCTAATCTTTAAATAATTCATATTTTAAACATAGGCAATGGAGGCACCTTTCTTTAGATGGTGACTCAGCTTCCATATGGGAGAAAGTTGCTTCAAGGAAGAGTAGTCATGCCCAAAACAACATAAACAATTGTGAAGAAAATTTCAAGTCCCAGTCTTCCCTATAGAGAAGTTAGCTGCCACTCTAGAAGAAAGAGAAATATGACCACTGTATGATGTGGAAACTATCACATGCTACACAGTGACTTTCTTTTTGTTAATCCTCACCCAAGAATATTTTTCCCATTTTTTTTAGAGAGAGTGGAAGGGAGGAAGGGAGGGAGGGAGGGAGAGAGGGTGAGAGGGAGGGAGGGCGAGAGAATAGAGAAAAAGAGAGGGAGAAACATTAATGTGAGAAACACACATCAATTGGTTGCCTTTTGCACCCACCCCGACCAGGCTAGGAATTGAACCTGCAACCCAGGTACATGCCGTTGACTGGGAATGGAACCCACAACCAGAGACGGCCAACTCTATAACCATTGAGCAACACTGGCTAGGACCCAGAGTGACTTTTAAAGCTCAGCCGTAGTTAATGAATCTTTTCCACCTTAAGGATATGAGATACAGACTGGCAGACAATATGCATTACAGGAGTTCCATGCATCTAACTATTATGTCCACTCAACCACAACCTCCCTTTCCCTTCCATTGTCCCACTGTTCTTCAAACATGAGGACAAGAAATACATATTCTCTTTCTCTATTATGATACTCCGTGGGCAGCAAATGACTATACTAATAACTAATAAAAATAGAAAATATCCAAAAAATTTAAAGGCATCTCAAAAGAGTGTTTTTTTAGGCACACAAATTGCTATACTCTGATAAAAAATATTACTCTATTCGTACCGTCCATATTCTTCAGTCCAGTTATAGATATTTCTTGTAAGTTTAATCCACTCCTCAGGGTTGAATACGATCTCTGAAGGAACCAATTTGTCACAAGAACCCCATGGCCAAAGTGAATAGTTCTTTTGCCAGGTTGGGTCACCCTCATGAATTCCTATGCAAACAAACGTTTCTTTTCTATAGAAAACAGAAAAAAACATATGATATATTTTTACCTTAAAGTTCTAAATGTTAAATAAATGTAACTCATGATGGGTCATTTTTGACTCCCTAAACCTTAGTCACCAATAAGCCAGTTGCAACCATTTCGGTTTATTTAAATCTTTCCCAAACAGATTGTTTGAAATTTATATTAGTGTGAAAAAAGCTGTTTGGGGGGCTGGGGAGAAGTAAACAGACATACATGATAAAACCTATCTGTTTGTAACATTATAAGAAACCACCTGTGGAGCAAAAACATTCATATCATCAGAATCCTAAAAGAAGAGAAAAATGTTTAAAAAATAATGTCTGAAAAGCTCCCAAATTTTGGAAAAGACACACCTTACTGATTCAAGAAACTGGACTTGTATGCACGCATATAAGCCTAACCAATGGACACAGACAACAGGAGGTGAGGGCATAAGTGGGGGGGCGGGCAATGGGGGGATAAGAACACATATATAATACCTTAATCAATAAAGAAATTAAAATAAAATAAAATTGGAAAAAAAGAAACTCAATGAACCCCAAACAAGTTAAATTCTAAGAAATCTATGGCCAAGTATACCATCATCAAACTCCTGAAAACTAAAGACAAATAATCTTGAAAGCAAACAAGGAAAACAACACATTTCATCACACAAGGAAGCAATGATTTGAATGACTGGATTTCTCAACAGAAACCATGCAGGTCAAAAGTATGTAAAATAACATTTTTAAAGTACTGGTGGCCCAGCCGGTGTGGCACAGTGGTTGAGCATTGACCTATGAACCAGGAGATCATGGTTTGATTCCAGTCAGGGCACATGCCCCAGCTGCGGGCTCGATCCCCAATAGGAGGCACGCAGGAGGCAACGGATCGATGATTATCTGTCATCACTGATGTTTCTATCTCTCTCTCCCTTCCTCTCAGAAATCAATAAAAAATAAATAAAAAATAAAGTGCTGGGGTGGGGGAGAAGAATTATCAACCCATTATTCCATATCTAGAAATATACATCAAAAATAAAGGTGAAATACATTTTCTGATAAAGGAGAACTAAGAAAATTCATTGCATAATAGTCTTGATGTAAAAGAAATGTTAAAGGAATATCTTCAGATGCGAGAGCAATAATTAATACAAGAGGGAAACTCGGAATATCAGGAATGAAGGGAGAGCAACAGAACTGGTAAATATATGTATTAATATTTTAGACAATTTTTCATCTTAAATTTTAAATATATATGTACCAGAGGAAGCTGATGCCAGCACCAGCTTCCCTCTGGCACCTGGGACCCGGGCTTCCCTCGCAGCCCCGGTTTTGTCTGGAAGGTTGTCCAGGAGAACGTCCAGGAGAACGTCCAGTCTAATTAGCATATTATGCTTTTATTATTATAGATGACAGTTGAAAATGATCACATGTTGATATAATACATATGACAACACAATCAAAGTGGGATGGTTAAAGGGACTTATGTAGCAGTAAGTTTTCTATATTCCACTTGAAGTACTAAAATATGATCCTAAATAGACTGTGAAAAGTAAAGTATGTATACTGTAATCCCAAGAGCAATCACTAAAAATAATTTACCAAAAGACATGGTAAAAATCCCAATAAAGAATTTAGAATGGAATACTGAAAAAATCAAAATTATCTAAAAGAAGGCAGGAAATGGCAAACAGTGGAATAAAAAAGAGGGAACAAACAAAAAGCAAATAATAAATGGAAGACATACATCTGAACATATCAATATTTACACTAAATGCAAATGGTCTAAATACACCAATGAAAAGTAGATAAATGAAAAGTAGATATTGTCAGAATGAATAATAAAACATGATCCCACGTATATTTTATCTAGAAGAAACCACATGAAAATACTATTTTAAAAAAAAACAGAAGGATTTTTTTTTTAAATACACAGAAAGGTACAAAGGCAATTCAGTGAAGAAAGGATAATGTTTTCAACAAATAATATTTGGACAATTTGACATTCATATGCAAAAACACTCAGAATGTTCATCACCATGCTGTATTACAATAGCAAAAGTCTAGAAACAACAACAATATCCAACAATACTTGGTAAGTTATCATGAATCTATGTGAGAATACTATATAGCTCCAAAAATGATGTTAATGAAGACCATTTATTGAGTGAGTGGGGGAATGCTCATAATAAGATATTAGGTGAAAAACTGACAAAAAACTCAGTATTACCCCAGCTATGTAAAATATATTATACAAGTGTATGTATGTGTGCATATAAATAAGTAATTTGTTAAAAATAAATGGAATCCCGAAAAGCTTCCTAAAGTGTTAACGTGATTGTCCTTGAAAGACAAATGATATTGATCTTCTTTATACATGTCTGAATCGTCTATAGTTTCCACAAGGAGCATGAGATATTTCCATAATGAGGAAAGGCCTCATCCATGCCTATAGAATAAATCCCTTCATGACCAGGGCCCCACCATCCCTCCACACTCATCCCCTCACCTAGCCCTCTAAGCCCTAAGCTCTGATCTCACTGGGCCACCCCTGTGTCCCTGGAGCTCAGCAGGTCCTTTCCATGACTCTGCACATGCAACTCCCTTGAGTCAGCCTTCTCCCACCCACTTGACAAATTCCTACTTAGCCTTTAGGTCTCCACATACTAACATTATCACACTTACCAGATAGTACTATAATTTATCTGTTTCATAGTTAAGATAGCACCTGTAAGCGTATCGGAAAACACTGTAATTGCAGGGATATCCATGCAGCTGTGGCTAGTATAGTTGTTTGGACACATTGGACACCCAATATTTATTAAATAAATGTTGAATGAATGCCCTGAGGCAGAATTCATTGCTTCCTCAAGCATGCTCCTAGAACACTTGGCTTATACTGTCAGTTAAATCATCCATTCAGGAGACACATACTGAACACTTACTGGGTCTCACACTTGACAAAGCTTTGCTAGAATAGAGCTTATCCTATCATATTATGGCCAGTTGTATTTGTACCCATGTTTATATACAACTGGGTTGTGGTCTACTTAAATTTGGAACTGGTCTCATTATAATGCCAGGGCCTAATATAAGCTAGAACAAGGCATATTCAATAAATGTTCAATAAACACAATACACCCCCCCCCCACACACACACACGCCTATTTGGTGATGTTAATGGTACTTAGAATTTTAATCCAAAATAGAACAATTAAGTGTTACTGTCACAGCACGTTTATATCCATTACCTTCATATTACTTCATGAGGCACAGTAAACTCCAGGTTCTGAACACCAAAAGTATATTATTATGTTCTTAGTAAGGGATAATTTAACTTTGCAATTTACAAAGTATTTCTGAAGTCCCCTTTAGAAGAGAATAGAAATTACGAAATAAGTTTTTCTTCTTCACACTCTGGACAATTGCATGCATTTCACAGACAGGCGAAATGTTCAACACTATACTGTTGGAGGAGTTATTTATTCTTGACCTTAACTATGAATAATTTTATGTTCTCAAGTATGGAATTCACAATTCTCATGTTATCTTAGCCACCATAACTGTAGGTGTTTTTCTTATTTATAAAAATGCCTTATCCTTTATAAGAAATCCTTAAGCTATTTTTATGTCGTGATTATTCCTGGAAGCCATTTCCTTTACACTTAAAAGGGGGCCATGGTGTTGATCAGAGGGAAACTATAATTGCTTGTGATTCACCTGCAATGATTTCAAGTAGGAGGCACATCTCCAACTTCTCTGAATTGTACTAAGATCTTATTTGCTATTCTTGCTAATCTGTCTTTATTTTTCCTTTACCCAGAACAATAACATTTATTTCTGCCTGGTCTCATTTATGCACAGATATTCAATTTAATTACAAAGATAATCTCACCGGTGACAGGAAAATAGGTGTAGAAAATTGGTCTTTTGGATGAAGCACAGCTGCTACATAAACAATTTTAGAACAGCTTAAGATTTTAGAAAAGCTATTATATTAAAAGAATGCTTACTGTTTATTTATTTCAAGAAAATGATAAAGATTAAATGTGACCATTCCACTGGGTAATACTCCTTCCACAGGATTCCACCGGTTCCCAGGAAAGTTGACACCTGGTAAATGCTTTGCCATCTTGGGTAAATACCACTCATAAGTCATCATCTGCCAGAAAAATAACATATAATGTCATGCTTTTATTATACCTCTTTAAGAAAAATCAAATTTAGCAAGTACAAAAAAAGTTCTAAAATGTGGGTATATGCTCATCGAATATAAACATAATGGGCCCGGCCAGTGTGGATCAGTGGTTGAGCATTGACTCATGAACCAGGAGGTCATGGATCGATTCCCAGTCAGGGCACATGACCAGGTTTCAAGCTCAATCCCCAGTAGGGGGCATGGAGGAGGCAGCCGATGGATGATTCTCATCATTGATGTTTCTATCTCTGTCCCTTTCCCTTCCTCTCTCTGAAATCAATGTAAAAAAAAAATCTTTAAAAAAATAAACATAATTGAAAAATACATACAAGCACAACTGAGGTATGTGGCATTGACCACTCTTGTAATGACTTAAAACTAGGATTTCATGTCTTAAGTTATGACTCTCATAGGTAAGGTCAGCATCTAGTTTCATTTTGCTTTCGTGCATTTGAGGTACTATCCAGAATGACCTTCCCCATTCTGGAGAATGCGTACTCAACTTGCAAAACCAGCTTACATATCACTTCCTTTAGGATACCCTCCCCAATTTCCACAGCAGAATGATATGCTACTGCAGCACTTGCACCTACCTCTAGTATAGCTTTTAGACTATTCCTCGCTAGACTGTATCCTCTCTTCTTTGTGCTTCTGCACCTAGCACACTGCCTGGCATAGAACAGTTCTCAAATTATGTTTGCTGAAGTTGAAATGTCTTTGATGGCCAGACTAGATAATCTAGGCAAAATAAAGATGTGCCATTACTCCGTTCTTTCATCCATTCTAAAAAAAATATATTGTTCACCTATAAAGAAGAAGCTATAATCCCTGCCCGGGAGAAGCTTGATCATATAATAATCTAGGCTACAAAGATAAAAACCTTTTAGCTAAATTATCTGAATTTATTAGTATCTCCAAATTAATTACATATGCTGACATTTAAAATAAATCATTAATATCAGAAAAGTCATTTTTCTTAATTCTATAGTTAATATATACTTAGCTATACTTTTATTTGTACAGATTTTCTTTTTTTAAAGAAAATACTCCTAGTCCAGCAGACTAATTTTAATGTAAGTGTATATGGCAAATATTCAAGAATACTTATTTTTTATTGATTTCAGAGAGGAAGGGAGAGGGAAGAGAGAGATAGAAACATCAATGATGAAAGAGAATCATTATCGGCTGCCTCATGCATGCCCCCTACTAGGGATTGAGCTGGCAACCACAGGCATGTGCCCTTGACTGGAATCGAACCTGGGACCCTTCAGTCCACAGGCTGACGCTCTATCCACTGAACCAAACCAGCTAGGGCACAAAATACTTAATGAATTTGATTTTATTACCCAATAGTTTGTTCTTGGGATATTAACATTAATTAAATACCCACGGTGTGCTATGACATTGTTTCTCATTTAATTCTCATAACAACCTTATATGTGAGAACAATTATATCTGACTAGAGGCCTAGTGCACAAATTTGTGCACTGGTAGAGTCTGGCTGGTCCGCCCCGATTGGGGCCAATTGGGCTGGCCGGCCACAGGCAGTTGGCCAGCCGGCCCCACCCCCTGGTCAAACTCCTGGTTGAACTCCCGGTCGAGGGGACAATTTACATATTAGCTTTTTATTATATAGGATACTGTGAATGCCCACTGAAAAGCTAGTACCTTCTTCTTTCTCACGAACACAATCCTGAAGTTGATCAGTAACCAGGGCAGCAATATGCTTGGGTCTAGTCATTCCCCTTTGTTGGTGATAGGTTAGGAGTGGGCATATGACAATTTTGGTTAGTGTGGCCCGAATAGAGGTCCGCTTGGGGCTTCTGGGACACATGTTACTCCCAATAGAGAAAGGGGGTGGGGCAGGCCCTAGAAGAAGTCTGTGGCTTGGTTTCATGATGTGATGTTTGGAAGAGGGCACCCATCAGGTCAAGGTACCTGCAGAGAAGCTGCCCCAGAACACAGACATCACTGAATTGCTTATAGTAACCTAAAACCAACTATCTCCCGACTACTTGTCACGTGAAATTAAAAACTTTAAACTATCTTAATCAGGTATTTTGCTTCTTGCATTCAAAAGCATTCTATGTTTATATGATGGTCATTTCCGTTTTATAAATAAGGAAACAGGCTCTGAGAGAGAAAAAAATCATTAGTTCCATGTCACATATTCAAGAAGTGATGAGGACTTGAATTTTGGTCTAGGTAATATTGAAATCCATGTTTCTCAATTACGTATAGTAGTTGCCAACTCAAACAGTATTTAAAACCATACTGTGATACCATATTATCAACTAATAACCTAGCTTTTGTCAGAAGCTAGATTGAAGATAAAATTAATCAGTGTGCTAGGTATAAATGTAAACTGCTTATAAAAATGTATCATTTGTAAGTTTCTCTATATTTGCAAATCTGTTTATAAAGTTTTCTCCAAAAAAGTTTGTTATTCACTAACTCAACAAAATTTGTTAAATAAGTAATGCATCTAAAAATTTTCTCAACCAAACTAATCATAGTATTTTTTTTAAGATTAAGAATTTCTCTTTTCCTATGAGTGCTCTAAAAATAGATATATTTGTTCCCTTTCAAGTATTTATGGTTTAAATACTAAATCTTATAGTTTAAATATATTTCTTCAGTTCTAGAAGATTCACTTCTAGGACTTTTCACAAGTCCTTTCTGACCATATATTTTGCATATGATCAATAAAGTTCACACAAAATTCTATAGCAGAATCATGGTTAATAATTTCTATTTTGAGTGAAATGTTTACTTCCCTGCAGTATGACTTATTTTATATTCAACCTAATTTATTCTAATCCCTGGGCCAGTGGGCAGTGTTAATTTGTATATAGAAGAACAATTTATTTTTTTATTTTTATTTTTTTAAAATATATTTTATTGATTTTTTACAGAGAGGAAGGGAGAGAGACAGAGAGCCAGAAACATCGATGAGAGAGAAACATCGATCAGCCGCCTCCTGCACATCTCCCACTGGGGATGTGCCCGCAACCAAGGCACATGCCCCTGACCGGAATCGAACCCGGGACCCTTCAGTCTGCAGGCCGACGCTCTATCCACTGAGCCAAACCGGTTTCAGCTAAAAGAACAATTTAAAAATAAATTTACAATAAAATATTCCCATGGTTTGTCATGTGAACTAGAGACCTAGTATATTATTTGAATCTAACATGAAACACATTCTTAAAATGTGTTTTAACATTAAACACTCAGTTTAAATAATACAGAGGCAACTCATAGGACTTACACCATTAGTTAAGAAATAAACAAAAGAATATGATATATACTCTAAGAGTGATCATGATAACTGTACCCATACACTGTTAAAATACAGGTGTGTTTTTTAAAAAAAAACAACATGTTTTTAAATGATTACAATTACTATATTCTCAGTATATTTTCCATATACTCACTTCCTGATCCACTAATGAAATGTCTGGCCTCAGTCCCTCACAATAATGCATATAACGGAGAGAATTTCCTGGCAAATCTCCTCTGAGTAAGATAATTGCATCATGAGGCATAGAGGCTAGAAGGTTCTTCGCAAATTTATCAATCACATAGTTGGTCTTTTGGTCACAAATGCTAAATAAAAGAATAAAAAAACACATTAAAATAGCAGCATATTGCTTCAGATTTAATAAGACTGGGCTTATTTTCTGCCTCATTCCTTTCCCATCACATAATCTATATTTAGTGCTTCAAAGTATTCAAATTTATATTTTCCAACGACATGCTTATATTTGAAAGTGAACACTATCATCTGAAAAAAAAAGGAACTAATTGTGCACTTGAGAAAAAAATCAATGTATTGTTTCAATTCTGGTATTATAATCATTTTCATAAAAAGAGAATCAGTTAGGGCTCAAGAATAAGACCTTTTACTTTTCCTAAAAGTGTATCCAATTTAACTAAAAAGAAGTAAGGTTTCTGATTCCACCTGGAATTTAAGGTAATTTCATGTTAATTCCACTTAGTGCAAAGGAATATCCAGAAATGCAGAAAGAAATCTGCCAGTTTGTAGCATAAATCGGGATGCCCTTTGTCTGACTCTTGCATGCCAGATTGACCCTTTGCACCACTTCTTGAGCTACAGGCTCCCTGTGTTTCTCTCTCCCTTCCAGACTAAGAAATCATTAGAGAATGGGGCCAATGAGAAGAGAGGGAAGGAAGAGAGGGTTGAGTTGTTACTTCTCTCCAGGCATTATAACAAAAGCAGTGCAATTCCCTTCAATGATGAAGTGAAGGCTCTAACTTCAAAGAAAAACTGGCATGAATTCTGAGCACTTCCCATAGAATAAGAAAAAGACTACAAAAGCAAAAGCATCAAAAAACTGAGCAAGCAATGTCCTTCCTGGTCTCCTCAGGTCTATTACATTTAATGATACTGAGAAACACAGCCGAAACTTGAATTGGTAGGCTAGTCTCACAAAGCAAATAAGCCCTTCCAGGAACAAAATATTATCCTTGCCTTTGTAACCGATGCAACTCTTTCCTCCTATGATCCCCTATTTTGCAGGATGATGCTTCACATATACCACCCAGCAGTGTTGCTATCTATTCCATTCACCTGGGGCAAATAAAAGAATCAAAACAAAATAAAGCCACCCAGCCTGTGCCGACATCCGTGGTGTTGAACCTGGATTGCCAAAAGATCCGAGCCAGAAGACTGGGATAAAAACAAGGTTGGGTAAACACACACTGTGGGCTTGGCAAACCCTTCTGAGCTAGCTATGGAGTTGGGTCTGGAATCCCACCAGGTGTCCTGGTGATGCAGCCTTCCTAACACTGGCTCTTCCCAGGTATTATAAAGAACATCAGTTCTTAAAGCTAAGTTGACAGAGGAAATTTAACCTTGTAAAATACCAATCAAATCTTATTACAAAACTCCCATGGACTCTTCCACTTCTGTAATGTTTACTCAATACTGCTGGAAATAAATGAATTATCACCTAAAACTTGGACATCTTTTAAGTTAGACTGAGATTTTCATTAGCATGATTATTTAAAAGATTTTGAAAAATACATACAATACTAATAATGCCTAAGGGTTAAAGAAGCTTTTAGACCAAGCATGTCAAACTCAAAGGCTAACTCGGGCCAAATAAACAAGGTTTAAGTTTATGTAGGCCGCAAAAAACCAAAAGCATCAATTTTCATAGAAATGTAGGTTTATTTCGATAGAGACACACTGAATACAAAGGGCTGAAATAAATGAGTAATCGTTAACATAAAGTAATAGGACATTTTAATAAAAATTAATTAATATTTTTTCTTGAACATTAAGTTACCAGACACAGAATAACTGCACAAATAAGCATAACACAAATAAACCTATTTTTCTTGTTCTCTGAAAGCGAAATATTTCCTGTTGCGCACACCAAACAAGTCAGTCCAAGACTAATGACGTGGCAATCGGCTGCTAAAATATTCACTGCTAGTATTAGTGGAGAGAAATGGTGCACCTGCGCATAAGGCATGTAAGAGAAATGAATGCAACATGTTTATAGTAATAAGTCATTAGCGAATGTTGTAGCTCGTTATTAATAATTATGTATAACAATATTGTAAAAATTAAGTTATGAAATTTTTACTAAAACGTTTCTTACATACTGTTATATTGGCTGGGCCACAAAAATATTCATTGTGGGCCACATGAGGCCTGCGGGTCGCGAGTTTGACATGCTTGTTTTAGACCTTTATTTTAAAACTAGAGGCCCAATGCACGAAAATCATGCAAGAGTAGGCTTTCCTTCCCCCAGCTGCTGGCACCAGCTTCCCTCTGGCACCCAGGACCTGGGCTTCCCTCACAGCCCCAGCTTCATCCAGAAGATCGTTGGATCTAATTAGCATATTATGCTTTTATTATTATAGATAATTAATATTCACTTCTACAGTATGAACTAGGTAAGGACCAGGTACTACTCAAAAGACGAAATCTTTGAAGCCTAGAGTGAATTACTTTAGGGCATACGACAATGCCCAAATATCTTTACTCTCTATCTAAGTGGTCTTTTACATCATGGAATTTTACACATACTGCAGACTCTACAAACTCTCTCTAGAGTTCCTTAGAGGAAAATACACAAATGGTTTACATGCACCACCCTGTTTGCAATGCCCTGAACTACATATCACTCATGCTGAGATTCTGGTTCAAAAGTTTAAGGACCACAGTATTCAGACCAAGCTGTCTCACTCTGAAAAATGGTGGAAGGCGAAGATGAAATAAAGTTCTAGAATCTAAATATCCAAACATCTCTGGCTTGAGTGCTAACTTTCATAAAAATAACCACTTCCTACCTGTAATTAGAATATATTTGGTAAATTACAAAAAGAGCTGCTGAAAGCCACTCCAGATACTGAAAGCCTTTGGTGTTCAGCACTCGGTTACTCTCAGAAACCAGTGTGGCCAGCCCGATGCCAGCGAGGACTGCCACCACAGCATTGCTCTGCATCCAGAATCGCTCCACCTACGAAGAGGCAAGCAAGGTGACTGATCTGCAATCAATCTGGTACTTACATATCTTACAAATATACTGCTTACACCTAGTTGCTTATGCCTGCTGTCATTCAGGTCTTGCTTACTGACTTCCCCAATCCAACTCCATGTTACTTTAGTTTTCAATTTTCAAACATTCCTTCCTCCCAGTTTGACATGTGAAGCTCCCTTTTGGGACCCACACATCCTTTTCGGTACTATGGACTTGGCGTTGAACTCCTGCAATATGTAAAGTGGAAGAGGTGGAGAAAGGCGTTTGCCTCACTCCTGATGTTCCCTTCCATGTGCAGAAGTGCCATTAGTTTAACACTCGCTGCCCTTTCACTTATTTCTTCCTGTAGGACCATATGGACTGAGCTTACTGGGCAAGTTGGGAGCTGGGACTGGACCTGCATTTCCCAGTGGCAGACTCTGTCCCTGTGGCACCAGTGGGATGGCGTGGGGTACAGAAGGCCTGGCCTGTGCAGCACTACCTGTGACTGGTGGGTAGGTTTGCCTACTAGTATTGTGGATGCAGAATGAGGAAGCCCCCTCGCTCACAGACATAAACCACATTTTCCAACATGAGCATTATCAGTGATAAAGGTGATTCTACTGCTTGTTATCTTGTTTCTCAACTGATTCAGAACTCAGGTGATTAAATAGGATACTATCTACTGGGCCATTTGAACACATAAAAAATTGTTTCAGCTGTTAAGAAAGAGTTGTCTACATTTACAGAGTTTCTACTACGGAGAATCTCAGAAATGGTAGCCAGTTAAAAACAGAAATGTGGTTGCTATTTTGCATAGGCCTGGACAAGTGAGGTAAGAAATAATAAACTGTGTTGATAAGAGCCCCCAATTACAACTCGTATTTCTTTGCTATTTAGAAAAAATCCAGGAAAAATACAGTAGTACCTATATCTATTACACACATAAAATGCCTAACTTAAATCTACCTTACATTTATTTTTCTATTTAACTATTGTGTTAACTAAACAATGCATTTTTTACCGAAAAAGAGGCCTTTGCCTTACTAGTTCAATAATTTAACTTTTGATTATAATAATGCACATGTAATTTTAAATATTTCTGAGATAATCTGCTTTTCTACAAGATTCATGAGAGACAAACTGATATATCTTTTGACCAGAAAGTTTGTGAAGAATATATCTAAATAAAACTTACCACACCCATGAAAAGTGGTTTTGAAATATCTAAATTTGCCCTCCAAGCAAAGAACAATGAATAAATGCAAAACATTCCAGTAAAAAGCCACACTAATGATGGGTTCTGTCTGTCCCTATAAAAAATTAAAATAAGTCCAAAATTATTTGTGTACAAGAATATCAATACTACTATTACATAGTTTTAAACTATAGGAAAATACCTGGAACTCTAAAACTTTCCACTTTTAAGTAGGACTAAAGAAGGATCTCAGTGTTTCAAATCTGAATTGGAATAGATAACCAAAACATAGTCATAAAATACACTGTCTCTATATTCTAGACAACTAGGAAATATGCAGCAAAAGATACAAAGTCAAAATTTGCAGAAGAAATACAAATTATTAATCTTGTTAAATTAAAATGTAATTAACAAATGCAAAACAAAAGGATAATTTCATGCACCAAAATAATAAAATGACAAATCTCAATAGTATTGGTGAGAATGCGGTTGCATTCTTTAAGAAAAGTTAATTTGATAATATATATCAAGAGCCTTAAAAATATTCACATTTTGACCCTGTAATTTGACATGTAGGCATAAATCTTTAAACAATAACCAGAAATGTGGATAGAGATTAATCTCTAAAAATGCTTTGGTATCACTTATAATAGTGGACAAACTGGAAGCTATCTGAAGATCCTGAAATAGGAGAATATTTAATTATACAGACATTCAAATGATTTTAAATATTCTTATGGTATAGGGAAATGCTCACAATATAATGTTAGGTATTAAGGAAACAAAACTATAAATATATATAGTGTATATATGGGCTAGAAATTAATGAAGGTTAATAGTGATATATTTTTATTTATTTTTTTTATCATTGGAGGTTACTTTTATCTTTAGAGGAATTCAAATAGTTGTTTGCTTCTTTTGTAAAGCAATAATAATTGGCTATGGGCAAAGTAAGGGATCAAACCGAAGTTTAAGACATTAAATGACTCGCCTAGTTAGATTGTAATACACTGCTCAATCTTTCAAAATCACTAATTTATAATCAGAACAAAAACTATCAAGAAAATAATACATATTTGCCTTCATAGAAGTGGTTAAATTTATTTGAAATATAAAATACTAGAGGCCATGTTCTACAATGACATATTGAAAATATGAATTTAATTAATAAACATGGGAAAAATAACAGGAAATATTATATGACTCACCTTCTTACTAAACATATATTAGCCCAAACTGCAAGGGCTTGGATGTTGAAGGAGAGTTCAGTCCTCATGTTTGTTACTTGAGAACTGTAAAAGACAATCGAACTTATTGTTGACAGAAAACAAATTTGGTTAATTCCAAAGAAAACATTCTTTGTAAAATACATCAGATTATGTACTGAATAATTTTTTAAAAAATATATATTTTATTGATTTTTTACAGAGAGGAAGGGAGAGAGATAGAGAGTTAGAAACATCGATGAGAGAGAAACATCGATCAGCTGCCTCCTGCACACCCCTTACTGGGGATGTGCCCGCAATCAAGGTACATGCCCTTGACTGGAATTGAACCTGGGGCCTTTCAGTGCGCAGGCCGACGCTCTATCCAATGAGCCAAACCAGTCAGGGCTGTACTGAATAATTTTAAGGGATGAAGTCAGATTGAAAATTATTTTTTCTTCTTTCAAATTCGGGAGAAAAAGTACTTCAAGAAAGAGTTAAACAGTTCTAAGATATTTTCCAATTGTAACATTTGGTTATCAATTTATATAATTTGGGATAGCATCAGAACAAATAATTTTTCAGTGTTTGTGATACTAGTATACTGTATTGATATTGTAAAACAATTTTTATTCCTGACTGGCTTGATAAGAAGTCATCTGAAATGGGTTTCTGAACTTCTTCCTGGCCTCCAGTGATTAGCAATTAAAAACAAAATTAATTCAAAGCATTTTTTGGAGATCCAATCATGAATTTAAAAAAGGACAAGAGAATGATCTCCAGCCATTCATTTCTGGGTTACCTTTTTCCTTAAAAAGGTTTCCTTGTTTTCTATATTATTTGGTTCAAAAAATGTTCAAGGAATCTCTGAGAAATGCATCATTTTTCCTTATAATTACACTAAATTCTTCCATTGGCTTCATAAAACTAATTAACAAGCATTTTCCAAGTGGTATCTGAGCTCTAGCAGTCTCCATGTTTTGAAAAATAAATGATTCGATATACCATCTAAAAGAACTTTCTTCTCCCTACTGGCAATTTTACTGGAGAAAATGTGATGCCATAATTATGGAAACCACACAATGTGTATTTTACTAATGGAGACTCATCAACTATGGGAAGATATCCTTACTCATTTTCAAATACACTTAAAAAATTGATTCCAGCATGAGGCCCATTTCAAGCCATTCTTCAAAAGGAACGAAGTCAGCCTCAAAATTAATTCTTGGAGATATGTTGCTTAAATGTAAGCTCTAAAACATGGTCACTGCCTAGGGTTAGATTCAATAATTTCCTTGTACAGGATTGCAATTTAGAGATACGCGTGGGGAAAGAATTTAATTTACTCGACTGGCAAAGGGTTGATGATTAGGTTCCATCATTTTGAAGGATTTTCTAGTAAGTTAATTATGAGTTCCCTTTCTCAACATTCTTGTCCACCTGAAACAATTAAACACTAGAAATTCTCTTACTCAGAGAGTATAAGGATTATGTCTCCATTTTTACATTATAATCTTGTCTGAACAAATAGTGTAAGTGGTCATCATTTTTGTCAGGTCTTTTTTCTGGGTGTATAGCCAAACTGCTATTATTTCAATGTAAAGGGGGCCTACAATTACCTAATAGATGACTTTTATGTGCAACTTATAAAAGTTAGATGTCTAGTCTAGGGTTGCTCTTGAGAGTTCTTTGGAGTTCATGTGGGATTTGTTAAAGCAAATACACCAGTAATCCTGAGTGTGATAGCAACCCCAAAAGGTAGGTAAAAAAAGAGCAGGCAGTGAGTCTTTGACACGGAGCGAAGAAGGAGAAAGTAAAAGCCCCGAGACACTGGCAAAGCTGTCTTTAGCTTTAAAAGGGAAACTGAGCTTCTTTGCTGTCTCCCCAGCAAAACAGGAAAGTGTGCTGTAAAAGTCTTAGACACAAACAGAAATATTTAAAATCAGCTGTGAGAACCATCAAAGGTTATATACAAATAATTGGTGGCAGGAAAATGTTTTCAAAATAGAGTATAAAATGAAAAACAGAAGGCTAATAAATCAGTATGTACAGAGGTGGACAAAAGTAGGTTTACAGTTATTAGTATGCAAAAGTTTATTCTTGTATTATTATTTTTCCATATAAAAAACTATTAGTCTACTTTTGCCTACCCCTGTATATTATGAGCCTATTAAAAAAACAAATATATTAAAAATATTGGAAAAATAGATAAAAACATTAATGGATTAATAATAGTGATTACCTTTACATGCTGGAATTATAATAATTTTCATTTTTGTATTTTTGCTTAACTGTATTTTCTGAACTTTTCATAATAATTTCGTATCCTTTTTTTTAAAAAGAAAAGGAAGGATGAAAGAAAAACAAGCTAGCAAGTAAGATAGAAATTCTGAGAACCTATGAAGTGATTTATATATAGAGTTGAAATATTCTCGATAATTTATATAAAAAATTTTAAGTTGATTTTGAGAGAGAGGAAGGGGGGGGGAAGAAACATCAATAGGAGAAACATTGATCAGTTGCCTCCCGCATGTACCCTGACCAGGGATCAAACCCACAACCTACGTATGTGCCCTGATCCAGAATTGAACCCCTCACCTTTTGATGTATGAGATAATGCTCCAACCAAGTAAGCCACACTGACCATAACCTGCCCATATTTTTTCTTAAATTTTCAAATTAATAATTAGAATCCAAAATTAATAATTAGAGATAACCTGAGTGTTATAGAAAACGATTCTTCCCTAATTTCTTCATGAAAATATTAAAAAAATATTACAGGATTGGTATGGATATTTTCCAAGTTGTCTTAATTTGTGTAGATTTTAAAGCAAATATTAATCCATTTTTTCAAAAAAAAGCTAATAGATAATATAGATAAAATATATTTGCTTGAGCTGGCTTTAATAAGATTGAATGTTAAAAAATGTATGTCAACATAGAGCTTAAGGACAGTCTACAGGAAAAGTCTTAAGAGACATTAAATAAACTAAGTTCTAAAGAATTAAAAAAGCATAGCTCACTTCAAGATAACAAGAAAATAATTGTTCATGTTGATAAATACTATGTTATAAAATGTCTGTGGAAGAAAGAAGATAGTCGAAATCAGAACAAAGCATGAACTTCATTAACAAAGGAACACTACATTCGAAGCATTTTAGTTTTATAGGTTCTATGTAGTCTCCTAATAGCCCCATTCATTGTTGGATTTATTGCTCATTTTCAGTTTTCTCTTATTGAAGGAGATGGTAGAATACTTGACAATATGCAAAACACCTGCCAATTATGTGGCTGAAAACTACTCACAGACATACCACTTCACAAAGAGAGAAACTCAGAAATACCTCAAACCATTCAAAAGAACAAATAGAGAATTCATTTTAAAATAGTTCCAAATATTTCATACTCACAGTAAAATTTCAGACATACTGGATCCTATTTCAGATTTAGCCTAAACATAAATGAGAAAAGTTTATTTGCACAAGCATTAAACTAAAACTCTGCTAAGCTATCGTATTTAACTATCTCCATTTAAAACATACAGGCTTTAAATATACAATGCAACATTTCTCTTCATTCCAACTCTTTACTTCAGAGCCTTACTGAATTTTTATAGCAAAGTCAGTGAAACTAAACATGAACATTGTTTAGGAAGAAATTCAGAAATAATAATTGGCTAAAAGTCAGTCAAACTATTCCAGCAGAAATGTCAAGCACATTATGAATTAATAGTCTTTACTCTTAGAATCTCTTTAGGCTCTTTTTTGGGGGCACTTTGATTAGAGCTCAGTATCACTTGTTAGTCTATAATTGTGTGTGAATTATACAAATTTCAAATCTGAAATGGTCCTCAAACAATACTTTAATGGAATGACCAATATAAGTAAACCAGATGTGTTAAATTCTTAAGTAAAAAAATAATTATGCGCCAAAACCGGTTTGGCTCAGTGGATAGAGCGTCGGCCTGCAGACTGAAGGGTCCCGGGTTCGATTCCGGTCAAGGGCATGTACCTGGGTTGCGGGCACATCCCCAGTAGATGTGCAGGAGGCGGCTGATCGATGTTTCTCTCTCATCGATGTTTCTAACTCTCTATCTCTCTCCCTTCCTCTCTGTAAAAAATCAATAAAATAGATTTAAAAAAAAATAATAATAATTATGCTTTTATTAACCTATTTTATTATTAAACTAGAGCCCCAGTGCACGAAAATTCGTGCACTCTGGGCAGGGGGGTGTCTCTCAGCCCAGCCTGCACGCTCTCACAATCTGGGACCCCTCGGGTAGGGTCTAGTTCCATCACGACATGGCTGTGGTTCCACGGTCCTGCGGCCGGGGTGGGCAGTGGGGGAGGTAAGGGGGAGGAGAGACCAAGAGGCCAGTCCAATCGCAGCATGGCTCCAGTTCCCCGGAGCCTGCGGGATGGGGGAGGGACCAAGAGGCCAGTCCGATAGCAGCATAGCTCCGTTTCCCGGAGCCTGTAGGCTGGGGGTAGGGAACAAGAGGCCAGTCCGACGGCAGCATGGCTCCGTTCCCACAGCTTCCTCCCGCTACTGCACAGCAAGCGGTCAGGGCCCATAGCTCCCTCCCACCATCGTGCCATGGGCGGACAGGACCCGGGACTGACTCCCACCACGGGCGGCTGGGACCCAGGGCTGACTTCCACCATACGGGCCGGGACCCTAAGCTGTGTTCAGTTGTCCTTCCGGATGTTTAGGTCGTAACGGACCCTTGCTCTTTATATATTAGGATATCTTTAACATACAAACAATATATCAATATACATAAAAGCTGAAGCGACCGACCGACTGGTGGGCTGGTTGCTATGACACGCACTGACCACCAGGGAACAGACCCTCCCCACAGGAGCTGCCTCCTGGTGGTCAGTGCACTCCCACAGCCAACCTCCCCCAGTCCCTCCCCCTGGTCAGCCGGCCCCTATTGGCCCCAATCGGGACTGGGCAAGATGGCTCTGATTGGCCCCAATCACCGGCCAGGCCGAGGGACCCTACCCATGCACGAATTCGTGCACTGGGCCTCTAGTATAATGTATATTTAAGTGATAGTTTTTAAAAATCTATAGATCTACCATTCATTTTAAGAAACAGAACTACATGAATACATAAGGTATCTCACACAGCCTGGCCTTCCTCATCTCCCATAAATTTTCTAAAATATGTAGGTTTACTACTTTTGTATATATCCTTGAGAAATAGATTGTTTAATTTTTGCTTGGCTTAGAATTTTGTATAAATGGTGTCATATAATACGTATTCTTTTGAGATTTGCCTTCTTAAGACACAAAAAAGCACAAACCATGAAAAGTCTGATACAACTGTCTATATTAAAATAAAAACCCATCTGATTATCTTTTAATTTTTCAGATAACCTATACGGTAAGCACTTTAGTGTTTTCCCCTAATATGTTTTAAGAAAAACAAGCCCTTTTGACCTTTTTTAGGACAGAGTAAATTTTACACACTTAGTGAAATTATATTTTATAAAGCCTTTACGCATAGGCATTACACTAAATACTAACATGAACACTATTCATCAAATATACAAAAAGAACGTTTTGGTCAAAGTAAATTAAAAATCGAGTTTTCTTTTTCCTTTAATCTTTTCAGATATTTTAAATCACAGACCAAGAGCCCAAAGTGACCCCCAGCACTACAGAAATGCTTCCAAGTGCTGGCGGCAGAGCCTTTTGAATGCTTGTTACCCTAAAATACATTCAGGATATATAACGGTACAACGTCAGGTTAAGGGATTCCATTTTTTTTTCTTACATATGTTAAAGGTCACATTTCAATTGGCAAATCTGTTCCATAAATAACTAAAATAAAAATTCTACATACTGCCATTGACAAACATTGATTGTTTTTTCTTTCTTTCAATCGAGGTTCAGGCAGAACACGGAAGTTTTGCCACTTATTCCTTAAAAGAGCTTTAAGTATAAATTTACCAGATTGAATGTTCCATATTCTTCCCTGAGAAAATGAGTCAAAAATCCCAGCACCGTTGTCTGGTCTCCCCAGGTCCAGCGGGCTTGATTGAGGCAGGATGAGATAGGAAGATAGATGTAGGGCAGCAAACCAGCAGAGAAGCACAGACTCAGCTTCAACACAGAGCCCCAGGAGAGTTCCTGCATCAGAGCACAGGGTGTTGTATGACAATGCTTATCCTAGTAGATTCATCCTGGAACTTCAAGAACACATCAAGGAAAACATCAACTATGTTTACTCAGCGTTGATCTCTCAATTTATATGAAGTCACCACAGAATACTATGTTAAACCTTCTGATTACCAGGGATTACTAGAAAATTGCTCAGCCTGAACTCCTTTGCATGGCAGGTGAAATCTGAATGAAGCAAATAACTTTAGTGAAGACCCTTAAGTACCATTTTTATTGCATCTTTTAAAATTAAAACCATGTCATGACATGCAGCATTGCAGAGATAACCCAATTGGAAGTGATTACGTTGTTCAGTTGATTTTGAATATGCCCCCAAATATTGTCCTAATGCAAACTCATTTCATCACCTTCATCAGGAGTAGACTTTAGCTATATGCTCTATTATGACTATACATTATAATATGAATCTTTCTACAAGATTTTGGGTTATATCATGGAAATATTTGGCACAAATGAAGCTAGCTTTTAAATAACCTCCCAGCTCACCCAAATGCTCTTTATCCTCAATTTACATATAGAATGAAGTACTAAAGGAAATGTGTTGTTCTATATAACAAGGTTGCCTCTATAGAGAATATATTTCTCATTTGCACACCTCTAAAATGAAGGATAATATTGACAAAATCTTATAAAGATTAAGTCCAAGAGAGTTCTGGTGTACTACTACCAAGATTCAAATAGTGTTCGCTTTAGTAATTGGGAAAGGGGGTCTCTTACAAATACCATCATTGGAAATTGCCAATTTTTTCTTTACAAAAAAGGGAAATTCATATGTGATAATGGATATAAGAATCAAGATTCACATTCACCAGACGTACAACAAGCAGCTGACTTATCTCAATATTTTCAAATAAACATTCTTAATTGATTATGGAGTGTTTTTATTATAGTACTGATTTGCTATTCCTAAAGTGGTAATGAGATACATAAACAATGACAGCATGAAAAGAGTGTAAGAAATAACTAACTGAACAACATGTCTTTGCTATTCTTAAAAGCAGTCTTAAAGAAAGTAAATGCTTGCATTTTGGCAGTTTCTGCATATTACAGAATGGCAAGATGCAACTGCTGCAGAATTTTCCTTTTGTGCAGGAAAGAAACATGAGACAGTTACATGAAAGCTATCCACAGGGCCCAGGAGAGTGGTTCCATGTCCTAGCTGCGCATACACTAGAATCACCTGGAGAGCTCTTAAAAAATATCAGTGTCTAAGCCTCACCCTGTATACACACACACACATAAATATATATGCACACACACAGATACATACATTACTATACAGGGTGTCCCAAAAAATGTATATACGCTTTAACAGCTCATAGCTCAATTCTGAAAATGAAATGTATTTTAATAAACATGCTTTATAATTATTCAGTGTGTGTATGCATTTTTGGGACACCCTATATGTACACACATATAAAAAACACATTCACTCTTTCAAAGCTTCCCAGATCATTCAAGTGAGCAGCCAGAATTGCAACCAACTGACTCAGGACTTCTTCCTCTGCCTCAAATCCAACTACCTTGTCTCTCCATTGGTAGACCTTATTTTCTAGCCTCTGTTATTTAAATAATGGAAATGACGGGTCCTTTGAAGAGTCTTTCTTCCCAAAATTGCATCTTTCATCAGTAGCTGGCCTCAGTACAGGGCCAACAGGCTCTCAAACCAGCCTCCTAACTTGTCAGCTCTGAGTCCTGCATGTTTTACACAAAGCATGGCCTCCCCTCTCAACCATCTAACACTTAGTTGTCAGGTTCTTGCCAGAGGACGCACCTCTCAGACATCTGAATGTACCTTCTCGGACGTCAGACACCTGGCTAAGAGTGACACCATTAAGTTGGTAACATAGATCATTCCTGACTTCAGTCTCCTCGAAAAAAGACCAACCAGCAGCTATCCATAGACAAAACACCACTGTGCAAGTACCCGAATCCAGGCTGGGGCCGAAGCCTGTCCCTGGAACACAGAGACTGAGAAGGACTGCGTTGGAAGCGACTGCACCACCCCTCCAGTGGGGCAGGCACAGCACTGCAGGGAGAGGACACCCTGGGGCTACGGTTTCCCAGTGGACATCCAGCTCCTCCGGCATTGCAGGATGCTTTCTAGGAGGCCTACTCGAGTCTCACCTCATGGGGACCACTGCGGGCATTTGCAGGGCTCAACTGCTGAGGATCAGATAGAGATGGAGAAGGGAAGCTGGGCTGACAAAGCAACCAGTGCTCAGATCTTGGGAAACTGCATTCCTGCTGCTTGAGCAGAGATCCCAGCCATTTATAATCCATAAGAAAATTACAAAATAGGCCAGATGCCACTGTAATCAATACGGCAGAATTTTTGTCAAAAATCCTATTTTTTCAATGTTGTTAGGACCTAAGGTAATTTAAACAATACATAAAACTGAAAATAAAAAGTAAATTCCCATGGTGACATATGTTGTATTGGGCCTAAATAAAATATTATGAACTTTCATTTTTACAAAATTCAAAACCTACCTTCTCTTTGCAAAGTCGAAAGAGAACCCACGGTATTATACACAAAACATAGAGTACTATTGTGTGCTGATTACATAAGCTAAGGCCACAGCAGAAAGCACCAATTTTAGCTATCTGAAAATAAAGTAAAAATAAAAAACAAGTTAAATATTCACCTAAAACTCTAAGTAAGCACAATAGTAAAAAACTATTCTGTATATTAAAACTAGGCATACCACAGGTCAGATTAAAAATCAATTGCTTAGACACAAGCAGTCAATTTTTACCAGTCACTAATATTTATCACCACTATTTTTATTAATATTTTTCATTCTTATCAAAGCATTTCAGTTTGACCTTAAATAATTGTCTTCAAACTAAATTTCAGAAAGTCCTGTATGAGGACTAGATAAGTCCTAACAGTAATAGGATGTCATATAATTCTTATTTGAGTAAAATCTGTAACTAAAATTCAACAATATTTGCTTTACTTTTTCTCCCAATAAATTAAATTAATGAAATATAACACTATTTATTTAAAACCTGGTTATCAATGGGTGGTGTTTTTACTTTTTTTTTTGAACATGCATTATTTTCAGAATCAGAAAAAAGTTTATTTTAAACAACAACAAAAAAAACTCTAATAGTATCGCAGATGTGTTACGGAAGCCACAGATAACCACAATGGTTTTTTTGGTTCTATATTCCCTAACAACACAATGCTGCCTATACAGAGATGATTTGACATTTTCCAATGTGTAGACTGTAAGCTCTTAGGAGACAGGCTTTCTTCAAGCTTCAAATTATCTTGATGATAGTGCCTATCATAGAATTCATTGTAATCTCTTCTGAACTACTTCATTCTTACATTTGGTTCTCTCCTCTTAAAAAGTACAAATTTGGGGAGAGGTCAACAGGGAAAAAAGGAGACATATGTAATACTTTCAACAATAAAGAATTTAAATTTTTTTTAAAAAGTACAAATTTGATCCTTTTTTTGGAATTGGGTAATAAGTCACTCTACCAGAATTGTATATAATATAAAGTGGTCAATCTAGAGCTTGGCATATTACGATCTTTCTCTCTCTTGCGCGCGCGCCACACATGCACACACGTGAGCGCGTGCACACACAGACACAGACACACACATACACACACACACACGCTATGGTGGAATTAACCAACAAGCCTATCTTTCCCATAGGAATCAAAGGGGATTTCAGAATTCCCACCTTCTCCAAAAAACTTTTGAACTCCAAGGGGGGGCAGGGGAGAAATCCCATGTTTTATTAAGTCTCTCATGGTCCACAGTAAAAGACCTGAGAATATTTTCTCTCTCAATATGCCTACATTACCTTGACAGTAATCAGAACAGATAAGCAATATCTAAACCAAAGTTTAAAAGAAACACGGCATCTATCTAAAAATAAAAACACAAAGTCATTTCACTGTGCTCAAAATAGGTTACCTTTGATCTTTCTTTTGCGGTTGCTGCCTCCTCGAAATGTACAGTAAGAGCCATAAGCAGCCCCACAAACAGATTGTTTAAGCTAAAAACCTCTGCTGCGATGGACCACTGCCATGTTAGACGAGAAAATGAAAACACCCCCGCAGCAAGGATTCCTCCCGCATGTGAGCCAGAAAGCCTGCAAATATAGATAACATGAAATCTTCTTTCCCAACAAAAAGAACCGACTTTATTCTCCTTTTTATAACTGTAGCAGTGGAAATTATGACAGTCACCCAGCACTATCCCAACACACTACATGGTTAATACAATCCTCCACGTAATAATATTCTCCAACAGATTTTAATTAGAAAGTCCATATGTTAACCTACTAACACAAATGAACAAACCTGCTTGGTATCCTGTGGATGACATGAAGTTTAGTTCTCAGATGTAACCTCTAGGGTTCAAGCCAGTTCAGAAAGCCTGAAGAGTTAGTAGCTAGAGCAGTGGTTCTCAACCTTCCTAATGCGCGACCCTTTAATACAGTTCCTCATGTTGTGGTGACCCCCAACCATAAAATTATATTCGTTGCTACTTCATAACTGTAATTTTGCTACTGTTATGAATCGTAATGTAAACATCTGATATGCAGGATGTATTTTCATTGTTACAAATTGAACGTAATTAAAGCATAGTGATTAATCACAAAAACAATATGTAATTATATATGTGTTTTCCGATGGTCTTAGGCGACCCCTGTGAAAGGGTCGTTCGACCCCCAAAGGGGTCGCAACCCACAGGTTGAGAACCGCTGCTCTAGAGACTTCCTCCAGGGTTCTCAGGCTGCCTCCTTCCCCCATCTAGATTAGCTACTGTCAAGGATCGAGGCTGAATTCCTATCTGGGTCTCAGTTCTCACATCAGGTTCTCAATCAAAGTTTGTGGAATGAATGGAGTTCCTTAGTCTGGAACATTCAGAATCTGGCCCCAACCTGTGTTTCCAGCTTAATCTTCATAACCTTCTTCCACAAACTTTACACTCCAGCAAAATTGGATGGATTCTCATACATGGTATGCATTTTGATTGTTCAGAGCCATCAGGAATGTTGTTCTTTTCCATGTCTATATCTTACCAATTCTTCTAACCCCCTCCCCCCCCAGAAAGCTGTCCTGATCCCTCCAGAAGTGATGGCACCCTCGCTTCTGTCCAGCCATCCAAGGCCCAGAGTATTTTCTACTTTAAATCATGTCTCCAAAGTCTTGGTCTTCGGTCCCTCCAGGGCGGGTCTGTGTTAGAGGCCTACTCTCTCTATCTCTCTACCCCCAAGTCCTGCCAAATGAGATGAGAGGGAGCTAGGGGACTGGGCTATGGTCATTGCAGAACAAGGACTTTGTGGCCGATCCAAGGCCCTGCTTTGTTGGTTTTTGGGGGCTGTCTTCACTGAAATGGAAGAAGGTTTGTCCAGGTATAGGTGCAGATGCCACTAAGGGAGAGTTGGGGGACCACCAGGATAGTGGGTCTTTCTCTGATGCAGACAACCCATTTCCACACCCACACTGTCCCCCCATACAAATATTTATGTCTAGCAAGTGTTATAAAATTCAGCAGGTACTTCTGTTCTAATAATTTTGATTTATATGACCCCATATCATTATTTTTAATTGTATTGTTTTGTATAAAAAATTATGGAGTAATTCTATGGTTCTTAATCAACCATTATAGGGGGGAAAAGTTACTAATAGTCTAACCATATCTCCCTTTACATAGATTAATTACAAAGGGAAAAGTGGTAACTCTGCAGTGGCAGACCCCATCTTATCCACATGATCAAGGTTAACAGCCCAGTAATGGGACAAACACAGTATTTCTATGATATTCCTACAAAAAATTCATTACCTGAGTCTAAACATGAGGGAACAAGCTCAAATTGAAGAACATTCTACAAAATAAAATTTTAAGGTCTTAAAAGACCAAAAAAGCCACGAGGAACTTTTTAAAGGAATTAAGGAGAATGAAGGGATATGACAGTAGAATAAAAGGCACAATCTGGGATTTTCTTCTGCTATAAAGGGCATTATTGGGACAACTGGCAAAATCTGAATCAAGTCTATAGATTAGACAATAATGTTGTATCAGTGATAATTTCCTGATTTTGAGACCTGCACTGTGGACACATTAAAAAATGTTCTTGGTTTTAAGAACCATACTCTGAAATAATTAAGAGTGAAAGGGTGCAGTGACTGCAACTTACTCTTTAAAGGTTAAAAACAAAATGATACACACAGAATCAAGGACAAAGCAAATGTGGTAAAATATTAATGTTTGGGGAACCTGGGTGGAGGTTATACAAAGACTGGGCTATTCCTGCCACTTCTCTATAAATCTGAAATTATGTCAAAAAAAAAAAAGTTAAAAAATAAATCAATAAACTCTGGAAATAATTTGCTGACATTTATTGAGTTTTTTGCCTGCCATGTACCAGGTATTGTTCTAAGTGCTTACCTTATATAAATTCATTTAAATAGATACTATTTATTTCTTTTCAAATAAAGAAACTGAAGCCAAGAGAAGCAAAGTGATTTTTCCAAGGCCAATGGCAATTAAGCAGCAGAACCAGAATTCAAACAGTTCATCTAGCTATTTATTGCCATTACATTACAGGGTAAAAGGTGGTTATTTTAGTTTTAATGCCAAATAATTCATTCTATATTAATGATAAAATATACTTTATTGGTTAAATATGTACCTCCTGGAGTGAAGAATAGAATAAAAGTTTTATCAGTTATTAGAATTATGTTTATTTCTCTTTCATCAAAACAACACACTATCAGCTTGAATGGGGTTCAACATCTCTCAAGACTGGTTTTAACACTCCACCTCACATACATACTCATCCCCCCCTCCCCGAAAGGGCAATTAGTCAAAGTTTAAAACCGTCAGTTAATTAAAGAGAACTGAAGAGATGACAGTCCTGATATGTCTGCATCCTCAGGAAGAAATCTCAAGACTCATTAATCTATCATGATTTTTAACACGTTATTATGCTCAGGAAGACATCCTGAAGTGTTTGAATTGTTGACATTAATTATTGGAATAACTGTCTTTTCACATATTTGATAAGGTTTTAAAAATTGAAGAGAGTAAGATAAAATGATACACTTCAGTGATAAAATTTATCCAGTTACCTTAGACTATTACAGTTACTTATATACATTAGCATTTTATTGAAGACTAATTATACATCAACAAGGTCTATAATCTGTTTTGCAAAGAATAATCCATAGATTCTTAACACCCAATTTTCCTTCTTAGCACCCAATTTTCCTTGGTATCAGAGAAATGATTTATTAGACTACTGAGTATGGTTATAGTAGAGAGGTAACATCATAAAACCAGTAATGGAAATCAAACCTATAATCTTGATCTTTTTAGTATCTCAAATGAGCTTGCTTAGAAATCAAACTAAGTCTTACCGGAATTTGGGTTGTAGTCCTAATATAAAATGAAAACAAAGGGGTAATCTAAAATCCCTTTCTATGCTTGAGGGATTCCCAGCTAATGAGGCATAGCTCTTTCCTATTATACATGCTGAAAATACAAAATACTTTTCCAGCCTCCCTTGCAGCTAGAGCATGGGTGTATGACTTGGGCTCTGCCTATCAGAAGCACCCATTCCATTCTTTGACTTGGAAACTGGTGAGGCAAAGAAGCAGGGATGGGGACAAAATACATTCAGGCATGGCTGGTGGCATTTCTCCATAATTTCCATAGAAAATGATGGCAGCACCTTCAGGGGCAATGTTCAGAATCCAGGTCAGCTGGTAGTGTGAGCTGGGGTGTCTGGTGCCCAGAGAGGACAGCTAATGGTGGTTTCACTAGAACATACCTGCCTAGGACTCTGGATGTTTCAGGCTCAGAGCCTGGTAATCCAGCCTGCCTAGAAATTCCCTGGGCTCTCCAACTTCCTTTTCTTTTCTTTTTTTTCAATTCTAGATTTGAGTATTTCCTTTTGTAAAAAAATAGCTTTATAGAGATAATCCATTTAAAGTGACAATAAAAGGTTTTTAGTATATGTTATAAATCAAACTGTGACTGTCCCTTAAAACACACACACTTGAACACACTGCCTTTAAAAGTTTGCTTTATGCTTAGATTCAGAATCCGTCGACACTTACTGACCACATAACATGTACAGACGAGTGGGTTAGGAAAACAGAGATACTTTACAAGCTGCAGAGGGATATATAATGAGGACTCGTTGGTAGCACTCTACGCTCAGCAGCGGCTAGAGACTGCAGACTGTGGATGTGGAATGGCAGCATCAGTCTGCATGGCTGCGGCCTGAGCCAGGGTTAGGGGCTTCACTAGGTAGGTAAGTCAGAATGGCAAGATGGAAAGAGAGTTAAAGTAATGAACCATGGGGCCTGCATTAGATAGGGAAGGAAGTAAAGCCACAGGTGGCAGGTAGAGGAGACAAAAAGGATGAGCAAAGGGTTCTCAGTTTCAGTTCAATGGGAGGCAAGTGTAGGGGCATCAAGGAAATGAGCAGACTGAAAGCTGAAGTCCTGCAGGGAGTGAAAAGTAGGTTGGAGAAGGAGACATCAAATTGTTGAAGGATGCAACCGCCTGTTAAATAAGACTGGACTCTAATGGAAGTTTAATGTGAAGCTGTTCTCAAAATCTTAAAATTTTCATTAGAACTAAGTATTGGTCCTGAAGACAAGCCACACATGAGTAAATCTGCAGGGCGATGCAGTGTAGGAAGACAGGTGTGAGCCCAGTGCCACAGCATCGCCTGCGTGCTAACAAGGAGCTGGAATGCCCATGTCAGTGCACAGCAAGCTGAGTCTGTGCCTTGCTGACAAATCAAACCATGATGTCAGCAACGGTAAGAATGAGGACTTTCTGAAGACTTTGGAGAAGGTCTTCAATTTATTCACTGACTCTATAAGTAGGCAGTCTCCTTATATTGTTCAAGGCATATTGCATTCTCTGAGCATGCTTCCTTTCACCTTTCTGGTCAGAGATAACTGACTAAAGAGCAAGCTGATGTCAGGGTGCTCTCCTAAAGGGAAGTTTCAGGGCCATGGCTAAGCACAGTGTTAGCCTCACAGGGTCCACATCTGCCGCCTCTACCCTCCGTTCTCACCCTACCCCTCTATGGATACTGCTCTCGCCAAGGTCCCCAGTGACCAT